TTGGACTGGCCGGTTATTATTGTTCTAAACCTATTAAGAACCAAACTAGAATATATGGTTTTATTTAGGAAGAAAACAAGAATGTATAGTTAATAATATATAAATTAAAGGTCTTTTGTTTTTTTTTTTGTGTAATTTTTATTGTATTTTATATCTAAGAGGATAAAAGCACTTTGTTTTATCAACATATAAGCAGTTTATTACATGTTATCATTTTTATTGAAGTTATATTATCAAAAAATAAAGTTCCAAGTTGTCAATGTAATTGGTAATTATAGATAACCGGGTCAGGCTTGATATCCCGATTAAGAATTGATTTGGGACTGGTCCACCTATCCCAAATTAAACCTGACCCATTCAGAGCTCAAAGTAGTGTTTTTGAACCATTGTTGACTCGGATGGTTGGACCGTTCAGCCCGAAAACCATCCAGGAAATTGATTCTACTTCATGCTTAACCCATTCATGGGCCAAATCCCATTGACTTGTCAGAGAATGGCTGACCTGGGCGATTGAATCGTCAACCCATCTATCTCAGACAGTGGTTCACGGGTACAACAAAAAGAGAGAAAAACGATCTTAGATTTGAGACAAAAACGATATCTGATCTGGGATCTAGATACAACAGAGAAGAAGAAGAAGAAGAAGAAGAAGAAGATTGCATAGGTTGGAGACTTGAGATAAATTAGATGTCAGATCTGCGTTTCTATTGTTAGTTTGTCACCATAGTCGTCGTTGCTATTGCCATCATCATCGCCGGTGAAGGTTGAATCCTCCTCTTCCTCTTCCTTCTTCTTCCTTCCTTCCCTCTTTCCCTCCTTCCTTTGCTTTTTCTTTTTTTTCTTCTTCATTTCTTTTCTTCTTTTTTCTTTCTTTCTCAGCCGATAGCCACATCCTCTTTCTCATAAAAACTATAAGAGACTAGTACCAACATTTTCCCTAATAATATAAACCATCTAAATTGTTTGACCCGGATGGTAAAACCTCTGGCCCAAAAACCAGTGGCCACAACAATTCCGTTTCCGGGTCGGTTTTTAAAACTTTGTCTCAAAGAATTTAATTAATTGATCATCTACTTAGTCATTATTCACTAAAAGTCAAATTAAACAATAAATCATTTAGTTTAGTTGCTTCAACGGTTATCAAAAAGTCCCTTTAACGCAAGGTTTTTAAAATTGAACTGGACAATGAACCGGTCAGGGGTCCGGTTCCTGGGTCAAATGGTCTGACCATTTGAACCAAAAGGATGTCCCATTCTGAAAAATTAAAAAAAAAATAAAAAACAATCAAAACTGTTGAACGATTTGAGTGGTTCAACCGCCCGGGTCAGCAGTTTGTTAACCAAATCAATGTTTTTTTGACAAAATTCCGATTTTGAGGAAAAACAGAACTAGTCACCTGATCGGTTCTCGGTTTTTTCAATCCAACCCTCTAGTTCGGTCCGATTTTGAAAACCATACTTTAACGTTACTTTTTGCATGTTTATTGACGAAAGGGAACTACTAAAACAAGCAATCAACCTCTTTCAATACCCCCAGATGGAGAGATCAATGGGGAAATTAAAGGCCCTTTCTAAGTATATATGCGTTTTAGACGGTTCTTGGGTTATTATTGATGTGGCCACATTATATGGCCCTAGGGCAGAGCAGGATCACTCATATGGAAGCTCCTTAATACTACACAGTGCTCAATTTGAAGTTGTCAAATCATCCTTAACTTCATCAATCCGTTTCCACAAGATTTCAATCAACAGAAATTGTTGAACTTGGCCAATTTAACTTAGGTTTCTCACGTGCAAACTGTTAATCAGAAAAAAATTATCTGTTACAACAAGTTCATACAAGGGATTTTTGTACTGCAATCCATCTCATTTGCAGCCCCTCGTAGTCTATTAGTAGCCCCCTTATAAATCGCATCTTGCCTATAAATTTGGCATCAATCTATGGTCAAGATTCAGTCCACCCTTAAAGTGGAGTTCTAGATTTATAGGAGTAGATTGAACTGTAAAAATCCCTAAGTTCAAAGGGGCTAAAAAATAAAACTAAGGGCAGACTAACAATTATAGGGAAAATCTATGATGCAGGAAATATATGGTATGGAATATCTTTTCCATATCATAGTTGAACCCATAATTATAATGATTTGAGTGGAAGTAATAAGAATTGATTTAAATGACTGTAATTTAACCATGGATGTAGATACTAGGGGTGGCAATGTTTTACCCAACCTGCTGAACTCGCCCAACCCACCCGGTATCTAACCCACTCAACCTACCCATTTACATGGCGGGTTGTGTGATCAACCCATTACCCAATTCACCCATTTAAATGGGTTGATTTGTGAATAACCATTGGGCTAACCATTATGGACATATAAGTATTAATTCCTTAGCATTTTTTTTAATTTTCTTGATTTGAATTAAATAATTTATAATTAATGCATTAATTTTCTATTAATAATTGACTAAATTTAGGTTTGTCTTGAATCAATACACTTCACCCAACATAAATTCAAATCAATTTGACTTGAGTCTGGACCAATTCAACACGGTCTGACCCGATCTAGCATATACTGATTTGGGTTGACCCAAATCCGAAATAGATCCCGGGTGGGATGGTCCGGTGCTGTTTGCTCTGTCTGATTTGGGCTGTCTGGTTCAACCAATATTCACACACTCCGACCCGACCCGGTACAAGTCGATTAGAATCCAAAATGGTTTTGGGCGGGATGATTCGACCTCTGTGTGCTTTGCCCGATCTGGACCGTCCATTCGACCAATATCCACACGATCCCACTTGAATCTTTATCAACCCGATTTAGCTACATTGACCCGGTTCGGTCAGCCGGTCCACTCCCGAACCTGTGCACAAACCTGATATAGTCTGGTCCGGTCTGACTGGGTTGATCCAGATTTAAACAGTTCAACCACCCTTGAATCCAAGTGGTTTAAGTGGTTCGGTCAAACACAGAATCCGAACATAGTCAAATGGCTTTGCCGCTTGAGTAAAAATAACATGCATGTAATATGATTTGAACCTTCACCACTTATGTAAATAATAACTACAATAACCACCAAGCTACAACCAACTTATTTGTTAAGAAAGAGAAAGTTTGTTTTTTAAGTCTATAAATATAAGATTAATGGGTTTGGGCGGATTAGATTGGGTTAAAGTGAATTTGGTTTGAATCCAACCATTTAATTTTATATAACTGGATCATTAATGGATTGGCGGATTAGATGGATTGAATTGAAACTCAACACAAACCAAATCCAACACAATCCACCCAATTGTCACCCCTAATACCATTGAAGAGAAGGAAATGACAAAACATGATTCATATAGTTATGACTAAATGATGCCATATAGTTGGGGCAAGGTTTAGATGATGATGATAAAATTTAAGGCTGCGTTGTTTTGTAATGTAAAACGTTAATTCGGTTTTGTTGACATCTAGATGTAATGTAAAACGTCATTATCAGTTCGGTTTTATCGGTACTTGAAAGGAGATGAAGTTTATACTGTAAATCGATGTACTATTATTACAGTTCAGAAAATTTCAAACGGTATGATGTGAAACTCCATCGGTGGAGTTATACATCGATGAGGTTTACAAAGCAAACAAAAACAGCCTATAATGGAGTAATGGGATTTCCTTCTACTCCATTTTGGCTAATTGAAAGGGATGCATGGCATAGACTATATAGGAGACCAACCAAAATCGGTCATTGATCTTGATTGGCAGCTGTGGGCAGCCAGCCAATTAACGTTAATCAAATGATGAAATGAAACTTATTGGTGGGCCGGCAGCAAATATTGAAGGAAGAATACAATTCATAGTTCATTAATTACTTCTGTTAGGGTGATAGTATACACAGAATTAGTTGTATTAATTAAGATAATGAAGGGTATTTGGGAACAAATCAGATTTCTTACCCACACTCTTCCCACGAGAACCCTATTCATGTTTATCGCAGTCACAGATAGAGGATATTTCATCCTCTGTATAGTATTATGTAGAGGGAGATGTTCTCAATTCACGGGGGGTAGTGTGTTATGGGCAGACATGGGCAGGGGATCCGGACTCAGAGAAAGTAATGCTAGTAATACCGTTAGGAATGGAAGAGGACATGCATGAAACTTGGGAATAAATTAAAGCTTCGTTTGGATTTAGTGTAAAATGTCATCAGTGTAAAAGTACACTAATGATATTTTACACAAAAAGCTGCATTGGGAATCGGTGTAAAAATACATTGATGACATTTTGCACCGAACAAGAAAGTGACCGTTGCTTTTTTGAAAATAATGATGGGTGGAAGAGTGTAAAGTTTTACACCAATGTAAAACTTTAGAGGTGATGAGGTCACCTATTATCAGCGTAAAACTATACTCCATCCAAATGCAGGCCAAACTGAACCAGAGTGTAGTTTTACGTCGATAATAATTACACTCTCGTTTCAAATGAATACAAAACCAAACCAATGTAAAATTTACATCGCATCAAAATGCAGTCGAACCGTATAATAGGTGACCGCGGTGACCGCTACATTTTAAAAACCGTGATAAAAATGTGTAAAGTTTTACATCGATAAAATTGATGTAGTATTTACATTGATTATCGATATAAAATTTTATGTTTGATGAGGTTTTACATTGATTCACGACGTAAAACTCCACTCCTTCCAAATGCCAATAAATCTAAACCTGAGTGGAGTTTTACATCGATCTTCATTTGCACTCCTTCCAAACACCAACAAAACCGAGTTACATCGTTATTGATTTATTATCCATTCCAAACGCAGCCTAAAAAAGATAAAAGAGCTTATAAGAAAATGTTATATATGAAAACGTGCATGAGTCACTTTCAAGCGATAGTAAATTATTAATTATAATATTTATAATCTATCTATCTATAGAGACAAAACAAGTAGGAGCTCGAGGCCTTCGCCCGTGTATAAATAGAATAGTTGTTCCCCAGTTGGGCTGAGGTAAGGGGAAGCCGGAGCAAATTCAACAAAAAAAAAGTTACAGAAATGGGAAGGTCTCCGCGTTGTGATCAAAGTGGTCTCAGGAAAGGTCCATGGACACCAGAAGAAGACGAAAAGCTTGTCCTACACGTCCAAACACATGGTCACTCAAATTGGAGAGCCCTCCCTAAACTTGCAGGTTCAAATATATATATATATATATATATATATACACAAACAAACTCATCTCTCTCATTCTCTCTCTGCTTGTTTGTCTGAGTATTTGGTTGCTTTTGCAGGACTTAACAGATGTGGGAAGAGCTGTAGATTAAGATGGGAAAACTACCTGAAGCCTGATATCAAGAGAGGGGAATTTTCACATGAAGAAGAGGAGACGATTCTAAATCTCCATTTCATTCTTGGGAACAAGTAATTTAATTTGATTTTCCGATGTATGTATGTATGTGTTACTAGTGTTTCAACTTAACTATTATCTCAAACTACTACTTGGTTTAATTTGTTTACAAGGTGGTCCGTAATTGCCAAGCATCTCCCAGGCCGTACCGACAATGAGATCAAGAATTTTTGGAACACTCGCCTAAAGAAGAAGCTGATAAAGATGGGTTTCGACCCCATCACCCACCAATCTCGAACTCGCATCCTCTCCAGCCTACCCCAGCTGATACCAGTAGAAGCTTATCAGTTGGCTAGGCTTATTAGTTGTCTACCACAGCTGATAGAGAGCTCGATTTCTTACAACAATGAAAACCCAGTTCTGAGTTCATCTCAGTCGGCCGGGAATCCTATCTCAATAAGCCCAAACTCTATTGGAATTGCCACAACTCAGTCAGTTCCTGCAGATTCAATATTCCGTTTATTCTCTCATTTGCCAGACCTGCAACTGCCATATTGCAATCTGCAAACACCTGAGATTACTGTAACCAGTCAAGGAGAAAGCTCGCTTCATGGGTATCCAGGCCGGGTTTCTGCTTCTTCTCTGCCTCCTCTTCCGCCACCAGTCAGCGAGATCATGATCAGCAACCCCAGTGTCGACGGATGTAGCTATGAAGGAGGATCTCCTTCATTTTGCCCTGATCAGCTTCCTCTTGATGACCCTTTCTTCCATGAAGTGCTTAGTTTTAAACAAATGTAAGAGGTTGGAACGGAGTTGGTACCAAGGATATTAATATTATCAGGGTAAATGACTCGTTTACCCAAAATATTATATATATATATATATATATATATATGGAAAATAGTGTTAATGTGTGATCATAAATATATCATATGTAAATATTAATTATAACAACATGAATACATGCATGATGCATCATTTAGGCAGAAAGAGTGACATTCCTACATGAATTTTACCATTCACTTAAAAGGCTTATTTGCAATATTCACTGCCTTGTATTAATTACTTACTTCCCCATGCATGGTCCTTCACTGAGCCTTCAAATCTGTAGGATTTAAACAGCGTTTGGTGATAAATTGCTTTTCCTTGTTTCAATAAATTAAAATGCTTTCGAAACTGAGGTGGTATGAATATATAAAGTCATAAGCAACGCCTATCATATATACCTATATACACAATAATACATGCGTTGCCGCGTGGAAAAAATAATAGCACTTCTATGGGTAAGTTTCATATGAAAACTAACACTTAAACCACGATTACAAGGTGGGAGCATGGCTGTTATGGACTGAGGGATTGTAACATCTGACCAATCCAGTGAATCTCTTATCTAATGGACGGTCTTGATGCAGTGAGTGTTAGATTCATCTTATCTGATCTTTGTTCGACCCCACAGTACGTTCATATCGACCATGTATATGTTTCACTTTGTTTTGGTGGTTCTTCCAATAGCCGTTCCACAATGAAATGAATGTCCTCAAAAACTAAAGCAATAGCAAGATGAATACGGGGCATTTTGCCTTTTGGCTCCCAACTAAATTGCCACGTGGAAAAGTTCTATACTATGCTTTGCAACACAATTTGTATGCCATAGGTAAAATTTTTTTGCACATCCAAAGGTTAAGACCAACATGAGTTTGTTTGTTTTTTTTCTTTTATTCGGTCTAGCCCCAAAGTTTGTTCCAAGTCGAGAGGTGGTCATGTTTAATTTTATTAATAATTTGAAAAATGCTGAATGTTTTAAAAACTAAAATATATTTCATTCAATCAAGAAATTTGTATAAATATATAGAAATGAAGAATCGATAACAGTACCAAAAAAGAAAAAAGAAAGCCCATAAATAATTTCTTAAAAAGATACATATCTATTAGAGAGATACTAACAAACGGCGAGGTACAAGATAAGAATCACCAATAAAGAAACATCAATTCAATGCATCTCCATCAATGGAGAGAAAAGACAGGAGGAGAAACATCAATCCAATACATCTCCATCAATCGAGAGAAAAGACAGGGGCGTTCAAAAGGAAAGGACAAAGTGTCAGAAATAACATGATCGGAGAAAGCCGCAAAAGACGACAAAGCCCCAAATTAACTGGACCCGTTACCAACAATGGAACTTGTTGGAACTGCATCTGCCACCAAGAAATTGCAACCGCCACTAAGAACTGCAATCGGCGGTGGAAAATAGTTGGGATACAGCCATGAACGATAAACCAAAGCACCGCCCAACACAAAATCAATGAAGAGTCAGCCCCTTATACCAAAATCCCTGCACAAAAGAAGTAAAGAAAAACCAAAAAGGATAAATGGGTGAGAGGGAAAAACGATGGCGGATGGAAGAAGGGTGAAGAACTGAAACGATGGAACGGAATAATTAAGAGAGAGAGGAGAAGAAAAAACGAGAAGGACTAGAGAGGGAGAAAGGAGGAAGAAAAGAAAAGAAAAGGGAGAGGGAGGGGACCCCCTAAGGGGAGCCACCCAGTGGACCGATGGCGGAAGAAGAAAGATGAAAGGTGGACAATGAGAAGAAACTCGAGAAAACCTCGAGAGAGAGAAGAAACCTCTGGAAACCCCAGAGAGGCAGAGACAAAACCTTCCTTCGGTAACTGAAATGTTGGGCCTTAGCCCTTTAAAAGCTGGATACAAGTGGCGGATCCTTATAACTCGACTACAATTGAGAAAGCCCAAAAATGTCTAGATCCTGAGATTGAACAAATGGGTTTTGACCATAATATTAACCTAATGCTCCTGACAAACATGGCTATCGTCTAGTGTCACTCCTTACCTGATAATTACTGGGGTAATTGCTAAATGCTAATTAATTCATAGTTGTGTTAATTGCAAGGGATGCAAATTGGGTGTCTGATTTTAAGAATTTCCACTGAATTGGGCTGGACTGGGCCTTTAATAATAACAAATGTTCCACTGAGACCTGCCCACCCAAACTACACCAAGACCTTGGTAAGAACTACAGCCAGAAAAGGGATTACCTTGATGATCTCGGCCAATTCCTCCTCCCTTGCTGAAACCTGGGTCTTCCTTCATAGCCCCATTGACAAATTTCAATGAAATCCATCCTTGTTCTTGTCAATCTTGTAACGATTAGGGTCATTGACATTTGACAGATGGGTTTAATAGGAGCTTTAATTTTAGGAACGGAAAGAGCTACTCTTTGGAGAGGAATTTCTGTCTTCTATGAGGTGACCATGGGCCGGGCCCGGGATTAGCCTGTCTGGCAATGACCGCCCCTATCCGTTGGGCTCAGATTGGGCCAGGTCAATCTTGGATCAAGATCCTAAGTTCTGAGAACTTTACAAAGAAAACAAGACTCAAATTCCGTCTGTTTACCTTATAATACAAGCATTGAATATATTAGATCGGTTCCTTTTGAAATAAAAAGCAGTCACTGATGATAAAGAGAGTCGTAGTTGCAATACTAAAGCAACCTTTTGGGCTGATATTTTGCCAATGAGAGTCTCGTTGTGAACCCTCGTAATACAACGCCTAGGCAACCTAGTGGAGCAGCCATTATACAGGGAAAATTTTTCTTATATAGTAAACTTGTCTGTAATCACCTTTGATTCATTTCATTTGCTGTTTAGATACTTGCACAAGCATGTAAATCAAAAAGATAAAAAAAAACCCATAAGCATAGACAATTTCATATCAGTTCAATCTGAAAACACAGATACCTGAATATTCTTGGTCAAGAAATTAATCAAATAAAGGAAATGTTAGACCGTTTTCAGTGGTAGAGGCAAAACTTCTCAGGTTAGGTACTCAAATTCTAAACTAATCCTGCAAGCGGTTTTATATTATCTATTCTTGTTTCAAATCGTACTTAAGATAAAGACAAATTGACTCATGTTTCACTCTAACATTTAAAAACATGAAGTAATGAAAATATTAGATTTAAAGGGTATCATATCTGCTGTTGTGCTATTTTAAAGAACGACTAGCTAGTATGAAATATTCAAACTTTGTTCCCAGATTTCCATCCCAATGATGGCACTTCATCCTTTTAGGCCCTAATTGGTTGAACCTTTCATTGAACTCTAAGACTTCTAACAAAGTGTTGTACTTTCTTCACTGAAATGTACCCCAGATTTTGTGGTAACTAGATTTCCTAAAATATCATATGGAACCATTTTATTTGGAGTCTGGACAAAGATACATTGAATCAAATGAAATGAAAGCTAGCATATCATTTAATTGGTTGACAGTCCAGTCATGTCTTGTAATAAAATTGGTTCTCTATCAAATGGGGAGGTTTTATCTATAGGATCTTTCTTTAGGTTATGTTTGGTTGGAAGGAAAAAGGTTTTCCTACCTTTCCCTTTCTTTCCCTACTTTTTTCTTCAAACCAGACACAACCTTAGTGTTGCATCGATCAAAGGAAGAAGTTTATTCATCTATTACAAAACATGCAAGAAAAGAGAAAACTTACTGCAGGTTCAAAAAATCAACTGGCATTCTCGCTAAGGCCCAAAATGAATATCTCAAAACTCCCTTTTTTTCCCTTGTTGGAAGGTTTCTTTTTTCTTTTTATTTTGGGATATTGTCTAAAACTCACCATGACGTTTTAGCATTTTTCTTAAATTCACCATGACTTTTCATAACCTCCAGAAGCCCCTTGTTAGTGAGTTTCATTGTCCAAAATTCAACTTCTGTTAAGATTTCCATTAGATCACTATTAGTGGTTCTTAATAGTTCTCCACGTAAAAATTTAAATACTTTACATGACCAAACTACCATTGAATGATCAATCAACCTTATTAAATATTTTATGCCAAAATTATCTCTAACTGCCATGGACTTGGGCTTGGGCTTGGGTTAGAGGTAGTTTGATCATATAAAATACTCAAAGTCTTCTATGGACAACTTCCATTATTAATCACTATCGGTGAATTAATAGAAATCTAATAGAAGGTGAGTTTTAAACAATAATATCCCTTTTCTTTAATTGGGGATCCATTAATATCAACTAAGGAATATGCCAATCTTCTTTTTCTTGGAAAACCAGAACACTGATACTTTTGAATGATGAGTGATGACATTCTTACCAGAGAAACTATGGGTTGTAAAGAGCTTTGGAGTTTGGAGAAGAAGAGAGCTGTTGGAGGCGTGGAGCTTGGAGTTGGAGAAGAACACGACGAGAAAATTTAGGGCGAGCCAATCTATTTTTCTGTAAAATTACAGAAGTGTCCATCTTCACTTCGCACGTGGAACATGGGCATGTGTTCGTTATTTTAAAATTACCGTGGCGAGAATTGTAAGAAGCAAGAATCATGATTCTGAGAAGTGTATTTTTTTTCACTTTCAGAATCTTGCCTCCGGAACCAGTTTCTCATCCGATTTCGAATGAGAAACACTTTATATTTTCATTTTCTCATCTTAAGAATCGAAAGAATCACCAGAAGTGATGCCAAACATAGCCTTAATTGACTACCATTAACTGGGCTGTTTTTTTTCTTCTTTGGGACTTCTTTTTCTTCTTCCGATTGGAGATGGAATTAGAGGTGTAAAGTGGGTCGTGTCCCCTGCGGGTGGCTTGTGCAAAGTGTAGGCCACGCCGTGCTTGTCTGCGAGCCATAACGGGTCGTGCCACCCTCCCCGGTGAAAAATTTGGGGGTCGGTCTGACACAGCACAGCCCGCAGGTGGCCTGCGCAAAATGCAGGCCGTGCTGTGCTGGCCTACGGGCCATGACGGGCCGTGCTGTCCTCCCCAGTGAAAAAAATTGGGAGTCAACCCGGCACGACACATGGCTCAAGTCCGTGCGGGCCCGTGTTGTGTCGTATCATGCTGTGGGCCTGGGCCGAGCTAGGCTACAGGTTGGGCCGTGGGCTTGGGCCGTGCTAGGCTAGGCCACAGGGTAGGCCTTAGAACTAGGCCAAACCGGGCTAGACTACTTTTTTTTTGAAAGTTTTGATTTCTTTTCTAAGTAAAAGTGTAAAACTAAAATATTTAACTTTCTTTTGAGCTTTGAGAACTATTTGAAAAATTAAGAAATGAGAAATGAAAAATCTAACACATAAATGAAAAAGAATACTTAACCAAATAAGAATGATGGAATAACAAATTGGAAGAAAAATAAGAATTTTATTTCATTTAAATTTGAATGTTACAAATACAAAGCATGCAATGGTTGGATACTTGGATGAATGAAATATGAAAATGGAATAAATTAATAAAATATAAAAAATACAATATAGTTACAATTTTAAAATACAAAATTACATTGTTAAAAAATAGCAAATAAATTAAATAAAATTTACAATAATTTGAAAAAAAAAATAAAAAAAATCTATACAACTAGTCAACTATTGTTCATGAATCATGACTTTCATCATCTGCTTCAGGTGAAATATTCGGTGTAGTATCATGCCCTCCTTTGTCTTGTAATCTATCTTCTGCATCTAGTCAATCCTTAAAGCAGATGTGCATCTCTATACTTTTATCATTCATGTAGCTTCTCTTGTTGTCCAACACCCTGGTACTTGCACTAAAACAAGACTCCAGTGGAACTGTAGACACCAGAGGGGTTAGTAGATTATGTGCCATGGCAGCGAGAACTAGATAATTCTTTGAATGTTCACTCCAGCAAGCCAAAATATCAAAATTATTGGTTCCCTCACCTAAACTACAAAAATTTGCTTGTAAATAAAAATTAAGTTCAATAAATGAACTTGTTGTAGAAGTATCAGATTTTTGCCCTCTACTTAATAAATAAAAAAGTTTTTCTCTTCTACTACTGGACTCAAGATTAGAAATAGAAAATGTTGTACAAGTTGTAGGATTATTTCCTATTGCTTCATATTCATATAAACTGTACATTTCAAATAATAAATTATTAATTTCTTCTTCTTTTTTTTTATTTCCAATTTCAATATTCACATTTTCACAATATGTTTCAAGTAAAATATCTAAACCATCTTTCCTAATCCTAGGATCTAATATTGTAGCTAAGCAATAAAGGGGAGAAATGTTCTCCCAATATTTTTAAATTTATTTTCCATTATTTCAACAATACATTTAAATTGTTGATTATTTTTATATTTTGCAAAACAATCATTAATCATCATTAATTGATAAGGTAAATTACAACTAGTTAGATAATAAATACCTGATAATTCATTAGTTGCATCATAAAAATGTTTAAAATGTCTTCTACAAACTACCATTTCCTAGTCTTTCTCAAATATAATATCATTAGACATTTTTGCTTTATAAAAATCAGTAATAATTTGTTTATGAGAAATACAACTTTCTAACATAGCATAAGTAGAATTCCATATATGTTTAATATCTAATATATAATGTTTATATTTTAAGCCATAATTTTGACACAAATATTTAAATTCTTGTTTTCTTGCCCCTAATACAACTTCTAATTTTAGAAATATGAGTAGAGATAATATTTAAAGCATCTTGAATACATAAATTTAAGATGTGACATGGACATCTGATATGAAATAATTTACCATTTAAACATGGTTTTAATTAAGATTTTAAAATATTTATTGTAGAACCATTATTGCTGGTATTATGAAAACCAATAGAAAATAATTTATTTTCAATTCCATAAGCATGTAAAGTATTTAAAATGCTTGTAGCAATAGCTGGGCCAATATGTGGCCATTCAAGCTTAGTAAAACTTATTTTTTTTTAATTTAAAAGCCAATTTTCATCAATAAAATGGCCAGTAATACAAATATAACTTATGTTAAATTTAGAAGTCCAAACATTAGAAGTAATTGCAATTTTGGAATTAAGATTTGATAATAAATAAATTAAATTTTGTTTATAGGAATAAAAAAATTTTAAAGCATTTGATCTAATATAGTATTCTTAGAAATTTTTTTATATTGTGGATCTATAAATTTATGTAACCATTTTTCTAGTTTAGTATTTTCAGCTAACAAAAATGGTTGTTCTGCATGTACAATGTATTTTTCTAATTCTTGTTTCATTTTTTCTTGTGAATATTTAAATATACCAAAAACTCCCCTCCCAATTTGTGCTTATGTTGTTTCTGTCTCTTTTTCTTCTTTTTCTTCCTTCTCCTGTGTGAGCAAATGTCTACTCAAATGGCCACTACCACCCTTGCTATAATAGCTAAAGTTTTCTCTACATTTTTGGCAAATTGCTTTTTTTCCCTTCCCCTTAACATCCTCTACTTTAAATATTTTCCAAATCGGGGTACTCAACTTAGATGCCCTCTTTTTCTTTCCCTAGTATCAGTACCAAGGGTGTAAGTTCCATCAATATGAATAGCATCAGTGCTAACACTATCATGATGTGACCAAATATCTTCACTAGTGAATATATTGGGGAATTGGTTTTGAGAAGAGCTGGCCATTTTTTTTTAAATTCTAAAAAAATAAAATTAATTTAATTGGACTTACCTGGATTGCCGGTTTAGAATCCCAACTTTATTTCAATGGTTAAAGCCTTTCAACGTCCAAGCCTCTCAAATTGTTAACTTGAGATACTTGAGCTAGTTGAGAAAGCCTTCTTCTTGTTGAAACTCCAATAAAGTTGAGAATTGGAGAATCAACTAATCAACCAATCATACTATCAGATTTCACTTAGATTGCAGAGAATGTACGAGAGAGAGAGAAGAGATTAAGAGAATTATTGAATTGGTATAATGAGAATGGTGGAGGATAGGGCTATTTATAGGAATTGAAAATAATTCAATTGCCCAAAATACCCTAAAAACTAGTTGCTTTTTAGTTGTTGGGAGGGGTATTTTGGTTGTTGCAAAGTTATTTATAACTTTACCCTAAAAGCCCCCCTAAACAAGTTGTTATATAGTTGTTGGGGGGGGGCATTTGTGTCATTTTTCTCCCCTCCATAATCAAAATACATAAATACCCCCTATATATGTAAAAAACTCCCCCAAAAGCTGAAACTAGCCGTTGGGGCGGGGGGTCCCCTAACGGCTAGTTTTTGGATGGGCCAAGCGTGACCCTCTACGGGCCTTGTGGGCCGTGCCGTTCTGGCTTGTGACTGCGTGCACAGTTGTGCTGTGTCGTGCCAGCCTGTGGACTACGAACCCCTAGCTCAACACGACACGGACCATCGTGTCGGGCCTAGCACGGCTCATAGGTTATCGTACTGTGCCGGGCCAGGCTAGTCCAAATTCGTGTCGGGTTGCAGGCAGCACGGCTTGATTTATACCTCTAGATGGAATGCTTACTCTCAAACTGACTTTGTTTTTGTGCTACTACCAACCAGAGTCTGGATTTCCTACCCACGGGAACCTTGCCCACGTTTATCATAGCCACACATGGAGAACATCTCATCCTCTACATGGTATTATGCAAGGGGAGATGTTCCCAATTCACGGGGGTAGTGTATTATGGGTGGGCGTGGGCAGACTACAAATAGGCGGTAGATTGGGTGAATGAGCAAAAAAAGTCTGATTTTCTCATGTGGCAGCAATTGCAAATGAATGATGAATTTGATTCAATATCGGTGGCTCTCATTAAAAATTTGAGGAGGTATAAGTATTTAACTGCAACTTGAAGGGAGGTTCAAGTGTTTTGCTCTTCTTTTATTGTTAAGGTGTAAAATGCGTCGACAGCAGGATTCGAACCTGCGCAGGTAAAAGAACCCAAAAGATTTCGAGCCCTTCTCCTTAACCACTCGGACATATCGACACCCGTTATTAATTTCTATTATGGTTAACTAACCTTTTGAGTTTCGCCACACCAGGAGCAAGATGTTCTAGTATGGCTATGGTCAGCAAATGGGTATTTATATTTTTTGGAGGGCTTCATATGATCATATGGTTTACATGGGTTACCATATTGGGCCAATCATGATACACCATGTCAACCTCTGAACACCTGGGCTTCAGCTGATGTAGCCGCTGTTCTATGGTGGATTCCGAATGTTTTTCGACCTTTCTGTCGTATCATAATCTCCCACAAGCAAATTTCAGCCTAACAATCTTTCGTGGCGCAGAAAAATTCCCATGAAAAATCCATCTTCTAATACCCCCCTATCTAAACACTAATACCTTCCTTGTATTGACATCAATTTTTTTTATTACTGTTTGCCAACTGTAATGTGAAATTACAACTTATTAGGTGAGAGTAAGTGAAAGTTTTTCCAACAACAAAGCTTTCGTTGAACATATATCTTATGTCAGGGGGTTTGAAATTTCAATAGCTAGCTATTATTAGCTTGGGGAAAGGTCTAGCTAGGACATGATGGCTGTGGACCTGTGGTGGGGTAGTGAACTGGACTGGAGCGTAATTCAAACACGGATACGGATAAACTTAACACATGGCAATTCGGATCGGCACCCGATTAAGTGAGGTAAGTTTAGAAATTAAATAAGAGCAACCCTAGCAGGCAATGTGTAATGCATCATCCAAACTAACTATTAGGCTGGACCCAAAAAACCTACTAATCAGCCTAGAATGCAAATGGATTTGATAGACAAGACTTAGATCCAAACTCAATAAATTTAATCTTTATTACGTTGGATTTAGATTTGAATGCAGAGATTATATATTATATTATTAATAAATTAAATTAAAATAACATGACTTACATGAAACTTATAATTAATAAATAATCTTTGACCCTTTAATAATATATATATATATATATATATATATATATATATATATATATATATATATATAAACACATTTTGAGAATATATATTAATTTCTCATTAATTTAAAATAGTTAAGGAATATAAGTAGATAATAACAAGAAAATGCAACATGCAATGGGTTGACTTCCACGTATTGTTAGTCGTTGAGATGAGTTAAAAAATCGTCTAGAATGCTACTTGTAATACTAGGCCAATCATGACACACCACGTCAGTTTCATACGTCTGGGGCACACATAATCAGTTTGATGTGGCATAATGTGATTGGCAATGTGAGAGTTTTATATTTTACCTTTGCAGGTGCATGGATTACTGTTGGGAAGGCAAAGGGAGGAAATATATGAAGCCTTTATTACAGTAGGGACCATGCATGGGATGTTTGGTTGGAGGAATAGATGTATGCCTACTCCCATTTATTTATTTATTTTTTTTGTTACATCAATTAATTGATTTCCAAATTGTGTGATTCGTGTGAAAAATGAAAAAAAAAGTCCTATTCCTCAACAATTGAGGTGATTTTTAAATTGATTTTTTATATGGCAGTGATCCATACATTTAGGCTCAGTTTGGAAGGAGTACAAATGCGAATATGTAGAGTGCAAAACCTTATATTTTGCATTATTTCGTATGTATTTGTACAATATATATTTACATTTATATTCTTTCAAACCTTATATTTATATTTGTATTCTTCTCAATCTGAGTAAGGTTAAAAATATAAATATATGTACAATGCAAATGCAGGTTTAGAAAAAATGGTGTTACACTATGCATTCCTTGGAAATTGAGCCTAGAAAATGGTTTTCAACCTTTTCATAAATAAAAAAATCTCCAACCAAATTGCCTAAACAAATCATTGTCTGCAAGAATATTGGGCCATGGAGTTCTCTAAACAACTTCTCTAATGGATCAATATCTTTGCTCTTTTTTTTTTTATGGATAAAACTAAATTATTTATATTAACTACCAACCGAAAAGTTTAATTAATACAATGTCCTTCAAAAAACATAGGAGGTCTATAGCCTTTTGGGCTATCATAATATCATATGAGCTGCCAGATAGCTAACATAAACGAATGTATGTAACAGTAAATTTATGTAAATATATAACTTTCATTCGATAGAATAAGCAAGACATCATCTATAATATTTGAAATTAGTGACCTAAAAACAGTAGTAATTACGTTGCGTTGAATGCACTCACAGTGACAGGCGGCTAGCTTGAGTAGATTTATATATTTTAATGTAGAAGAACTTACATGTACGAATTAAAGCCGCTTCTGGGTTTGGTATAATATGTCTGCAGCCCAGCTGGTTTTGATGTATTAGTTTCAAGGTTCAGTGAGTTGTTCCTATAGCCCAGGAGAATAAAATTAATATTGCCAGCTGGCACCAATTTTGTACACACCTCGTTGATGATCAATGTGGGTCTGTTTGGAAGATGCATGCATTACAGATCAAGTTAAAACCGGTCAGGTTCTGGGTGGGTTGAATTGACGAGTGAGTTCTATATAATAATATGGAAGTTGTACATAGTCACTTACATGAACACTAATTGCAATGATGTGGATTTGATTGAGAATAATATTTCAAAGGAAACAAACATTCAAATAAAGAATGGATGACAGTAGCCCCTCCAACGGCCAGGATTCATCCCACCGCCCAGATTTCTGGGGTGGACTGAACAATAAAAACTTCATTTAAAGCATAGTTGGAAAGTCGATAAGAAAAAACAAGGGTTATCAGTTACTTGCCCTCAAGGAATTGTGAAGTCTATGTTTATTCAAAAACCATCAAGGAACTGTACATTATCACAGAAAGAAATTAATTTTCTGAGGAAAACTCAAATAACTGCATAGTAATTGTATCAAACTTAAAGACTCAAGTAAGAGAGGTATTTACAATATATAAGTTGTAACTCTCCATTTGTAGGAGCAGTCAATAAAAATATTACAACAATATCTTGACTGATATCTTTGAACAGATATGAATATCCATGATCGAATAGGGAGATCAGCAGGTTGATCGATGTATAATATATTTCTTGATCTAGAATTCATCAATATGAAACTAAACAAATATTTAATAGATAATATATGGATTGTCATCAATGCTAGCTTTTGCCTAATATATAGACAATTGAACTATAATTCTCATTTACCCCTCATCCTCAAGCTTGTAACTTGTAAGCTTGTGGTGGTGATGTCATTGCCAGTGAGAGTTGAGCACCAAAGGTCGATCTAAGACGCAGTTGTTGATGGCTGAAACAATAACTAATTAGGTATGGTACATACAAGCATTCGCATTTTTTTTTTAATTATATATACTTGATTAATTAAAAATCGTTATCAATACAAATTAAGGACAAGATATTGAACAATCCCAAGATGTTAGTTATAACAGTTGAGAAAAATAGTGTAGAGATCAAGTGAAAGTCATTATCGTTTAAAACTAATCATTCTATTATTTAATCCTTCTTAGTGAATGGATTGAAGGGGTTATTTTATAGATGTCAAAGGAAAATTAATTAAAACCTTTTTTTTTCCTAATTCCCCCATTTTATTATTGAAAACCCTAATGGGGAACCTAGGCATCAGAGACTTTGGACCACGATGCCCTCGAGCCAGCTGAAAGGGGAAGGCCATCATCCGTTTTCAACGCGTAATTATCATTGAAATGTTAAGGATTAGATAAAATTAATTATTATTACTATTAGATTATGGTGATCCTAAATCAAGTTATAACAATTATACATTTGGGTTGTTGGTTGGTTAGTACTCAGTAGGCGAAAAAGGATTCTCAAGTCTAACAGGTGTAATATAATTACTTGTTTTTCATACTTCAGTGGGCTGTTCAAAGCGGTTTTGGAGTTGTTTGATTATTCATTTCATCATGGTGTCACTATCTTCATCTTGTACTACAAAATCGCCATTGCCTGTTACTATTAGTTATCAGAAAACAAAAACAGCTTCTTCTTCTTTTATATTATTATTATTATTATTATTATTATTATTATTATTATTATTATTATTATGTGTTATAATAATCTAAGACCAAAAGTAGGAACATTGTGCCCCTTAACACGGATGGTGTCTCTTGTTGCGCTGCATATGAACCCTGACATGAAAAAGGCCTAAATGCATTTGCTCCATATACGTTAATTAACCTAATTCTTTCTGCCTCCCACGCACGAGCTTAGAGTCTACCTACCCTATCTTTTTTCTCTAATTCTTTTATTCAAATACTTTGTGAGGTTGGGGGGCTTTAGGCATTTTTATTTCTTCTGGTGTTATGCCTTCACTTAAGGGGCGTTCTTTTTTTGGATTTTGAGAGGGGGGAAAGTTGGCCAATGGGATTTTGATTCCCATTGACCAAGAATTCCATGTTTTTTTTTTCAGATTTTTGCGAGGACCAGGTAAAGTTTATTTTCCTATGTATCACTTACCTAGGGTAAATAACTGTCCCACCTAGGGGTAAAGTTGTCAACACTTGAATGAGACAAAAATACCCCTTTTAACAATGAATTTTTATGGTTAAAATGGTCATTGCCTTATTTACATGAGAAATAAAAGAACATGCGTAAATACACTTACCCGGGTAAGTGTTTCCCAGAAAAAAATTACCCAGGTAACTGCATTTACCTGGGTAAGTAAGTTACCGAAAAACGAACGGGGCCTTAGAAGAAGATGGTACCGTGGTAGGCAGCAAGTTTTTAAAATCGGACTGGACAGGGAACTAGAGACTGATCCCCAGGTCGAATGGTACGATAGTCTGTTTTGAATGGATAATCCGTTTTGACTTAAAAAAAATAAAAAAGTGGCCAAAAACCATTGTTCAAATCAATGATTCAATTGCCCAGATCTATGGATCATTGATGAAATCAATGGTTTTTGGCCAAAAAATGGTTTTAGAGTGAAATAGAATTGGTTACCTGACCAATTCTTGATTTTTCTGATCCAACCATCCGATCTAGTCCAATTTTAAAAACCATTATAGGCAGTGATGGGTCAAGCTCTTGCATTGGATGGTTTG